TTTGCCACGGAGAAAAAGAAGGGACCAACAACTCTTGTATTATAATGCCAGTCTTTCAGACATCGACCATTGTGAGACTACTGTGTATACACGATTAACACTGCGGGTACGAATCACCTCTGTACTCTTCGCCTCGTGAGTGACTTGGCATACGAGAGCCAACATCATGTTTCTGCATGGTCAGACACCTCTTTTAGTCTGGGACTTAGTATTTACATAACTTTTTATGTAGTATACATTTATACAGTTACCTCCCTCTATGTGTTTCCTAGCGACTGTTGCGAGAAAAAAATATACAATTTTAATTTGTCGATCAATATATTGGTCCAGGAGCAATACAGTACAGGTGTCACAGAGACATTCCTTACCTCGGAAAATTCATTTGGGACATGTAAGGGCGAGTCTGTCGGATGTGAGGAGCACAGCCCTTGAATATCAAAATTAAGGTACGATGCCTCGGACGGAAATGAACTGCACAAATGCTCCGGGATACTCCAGTAACTCCACAGCCACCAAACTATCTAAGTGGAGCCTTTTCAATTCAACCAAGACTCAATCGAACCGTCCAGCACCTGACGTCGCGCGGATTTTAGTTTCTGTTCTCTTTTTTTTCGGGTATGATCTCGTACCGCCGGTAATCCGCCTTAATACACATATTTATGTAGTTAGTTAACTACCTATGCCATTGCTTAGTAACATCTACTGTAAGTGTAAACTTAGAACAGCATCCATCTGATATTTCAGGGTTCACATTTTATCATACATAGTGTGCACGGCTATAGATGGGTACCTAACTACTAGAAGACTCCTCTAGACTGATTGAGCGAGTGTGGGCCAGCTTATTGAAGTCAATGCGACGAAGAAAGTTTTGCACTGATCATAAAGTATATATGGTGCAATAAAGATATCATAACCCTAAATGTAATTTCAAGGTGTTTGTCCATCGTATTGTGAAGGGTACAGGTGATGTCTAAATCCTGGAAATAAGTCGATTTTGTGGTGGGAGAGAAACTAATAAAGCATTATACCTAATAGGCTGTGGAAGATGTATATATACTTGAGGACTTCACAATCATCTGTACCAAAAGGCAAACAACCATCCACGAAAGCCCTTCACTCAATCACCAGCGTAGAACACTATTTTTAAATTACAATCAAAGAGTAGAATTCCAAAATCTTCAACACCACCTCTAGTATCAAGCGTCTTCAGCCTCAGCGATTTGATTCAAATCAACACTCCCCGATAGAGGTCAGGTGACCATAACGACGTCATCTGACCCGAACAGCCACAGAAGGTAGGCATCAACCCATTGGATTTCCGCTGTCGTCATCACAACCTCTACAAGCCATTATCAACGTCTACTTGGTCTGGTATACCAGTCATAGAATACACTGTGTGCGTCCCTATATAAGTTTTTGCATGAGAGCCGGTCTATTCAAGCAGCACCAAATATACCTAAGAAATAATGTGCGGCTCGGACATCTTCCTGGCGATCCTCGCGATATTCTTCCCACCGGTTTCAGGTATGTACTAGTTAATGCCCCTCTGACTTAGGCACCACCACTGCCAAACACTTGCTCTTGACATACCCTGCTAACGTTGCGCAGTATGGATTAAAGTAGGCATTTGTACAGCAGACTCGATCATCAACCTTGCCCTTTGTTGTCTCGGCTATGTGCCGGGCCTACTACATGCTTGGTATATCATTCTCAAATATCCAGAGCAGGATCCCGATGATCCATTTTACGAACCAGTTCCTGGGGGTGCTCATCGAAGGGACGTCGAAAATGGCCATGTGACATACTACTACGTTTCCCATCAACAGATCCAGCACCCGTCCCAGAGAGGCTACGGTACTGTGGCACCAACTACAGCGACACATCCGCCGCAAGAACAATCACAGTCTGCCCCTAAGCCCCAGAATGATCCCGCGACCGGCAGCAGCAGCGATCAAACACATGGTGATTCGCGGCCACCACCCACGTATGCCGAAGCCGTGAAGGGTGACCATAAGGTTCAGGACTGATTCAGCCATGCGTGAAAGTCCTTCCTATCAATGTCTACCCGTCCCTTATCTGGGCCGCTGCTGTGTGCAAGGGCTGCTTCAGTTGCCATTTGACCTTTTGTAATTGTTTGTACCTCTCTAAAGTTATGGGTTATGAGACTATCATCTGTATGGAATTATTTACGTCTTTAATGTTAGCGGCACGAGGAAAGAATACTATCAGAATTTCGAAGAACAACAGAAATCCTTAATGTCACTCTAGCTTCAAATGTACACTTTATCTTGAACCGAGTAATAACTACCCTAAATCATACAGATGACCTGAAGTAGATTCCCCAAAAGAATCTTTATGAGCCTTTACATGTGAATACTGTGTACAGTTCTGTAGTAATCTCTATCTACCCAGATAAATTGCATGATGGTACTGTACAAAATCACTTATCGTGACTCTTATCAGAAACCGGAAGAAAACCGCGGGCGATTCGATGCCGCCGACTTTCCCGCCTTTCCTTCGGCATCCACTTCCCAACCAGTAGCCTTACAACTCACCCGACACTGCAATTCAACAAAAGAACCAGCATCTGGACAGGTTCTCGTGGCCCTTTAAACCGGCCATGCAGTCCATGCCATTGCTGCTCAGGCAGTCCCTCCGATCAACCGTCACCTTCACAAGAACATCTCGTCCGGTCCGATCACCTCTTCATTCCGCCGTTGGCCCGAAGCCTCTACCAGCTGGCTCACGGCGGCAGTTTTCGATTTGCGTACAATGTCAATTTCGGTCGCAGTTTGCGCTGTACTCATCAAATGAGACTGAAAAGTTGAAAGATGGAAAGACTGTTGAGCAGCCGGCGGACAAGGACCAGCCTGCTACAGGCTCGTCCGAGCGGAGCTCAACAATTTATCTCGGAGCGGGGAGCTTGGAGCCTCCCCCGTCTGCCAAGGAGGGGAATGAGACTGAACAGGTTCAGCAACAGGAGGCTAGGGATGATGCGAAATTCCAGGGAACTGAGAGCAGTGGCCTGCCATCGTATTTGGAGAACCGCAGGTCCCAGGTTTCCAAACAATTTACTACCATGATGGATAACCTTCAATCCAACATTTTCGTGGCAGGCCAGCGATTGAATGATCTGACTGGTTATTCATCCATTGAAGCACTTAAGAAAGATATACACAGTCAAGGTATGAAACAAATCTACTCATACTCTTCAGCCCGGGGAAGTTGACTGTCTTTGCTGACCGCCAATTCCTTCAACAGAGGAGCGACTCCGAGCTGCCCGCCTGCGAGTCCGTGAAGCCAAAGATGCATATGCAGCTGCCATCAACAATCGATCAACTTCACAGCGTGAAGTCAACGAACTTCTCCAGCGGAAACATGCCTGGTCAGCAGCAGACCTGGAACGGTTCACCCACCTCTACCGTAACGATCACACCAACGAAGTAGCCGAAAACGACGCTCAGGAAGCTCTATCAGTAGCAGAACGCGAGTCCGAGGAAGCTGCCGCGCAATTGAACAAAAGCATATTGTCTCGGTACCACGAGGAACAAGTCTGGTCTGACAAGATCCGCCGCATGAGTACCTGGGGTACCTGGGGTCTCATGGGTGTGAACGTTCTTCTCTTCCTGATCTTCCAGATCGCCGTGGAACCATGGCGCCGGAAGAGGCTAGTCAAGGGATTTGAGGAGAAGGTTATTGAAGCCATTGAGAAGGAAAAGGTCATGAACCACGTTGAGATCCTGGCTCCTGTCAATGCCACTCAGCAGACTCCCGCCGCACTCCTTGCCACAGACTCATCCGCTCCTATCGTCGCAGCTGCACCATCTCCAGCTGCTGAAGGAATAGCCTCCAACGCAGTCTCGGCCGAAGTACCAGACGTCCCCGAGTCAGCGACTCCCGTACCCGACACGACAACAACACCCGACAACCAGAACACCCTGAACGACCTTTTCGAATCCGCCAAATCTCAAGTCTCGCGTTTCCCCCCTCCTACCTCCGTTGAATCCTGGCGTCAGTATATCAGCGATCTTTTCAGTGATCGCAACCTAGTCATCACCCAACGGGACCTGTCGTCCCTCGCTCTCCAGAGTGCGGCTGCTGGCGCAGCTATCATGGGTCTAGTGATTGCTCTTATCCGGCCGCGGTGAAATGACCGCGTGCAGGCATGTCAGGCTAGATGAGCCATTGTAATTAGCGTGCCATTAATTTGTTTGAAAATGCTGTGTATAAATGTGGTATAGATATTCACATAGAGCATTTGTGTAACATAGTCTTGAATGAATGATTACCTGTTACCATTACCCTATTTTGGAATTCGCAACCTGAGCATTGGGCCGCTCTTTCAAAAAATTAATATGCATAAGATATCGATGAGCTGGCGGCTGTTCACCGCTAGTTTTCGATTCGGCCTGTACCTAGCAGCAGCATTATTATGCTGTTTTGCCCTATTTTGGATACGGCCGTTGTATCTTGGCGATTTCAGTCCAAGTCTGGATTTCGTTACCTTTGGGCTTGCATCTTACCGTTATATACTGTTTCTCCTTCTCCAATACCCGTGTTGCTTCCTGATTGCTGATAAATCACGCCTAGTATGCCTAAGATCATGCACGATGGTATGAACGGACAAAAGGAATCGCATGTGAATATACCTAGGAAAAGACTATGTAGATACAAGTAACCGACATACAAAAGGTATACATCTATATGTCGACCGTCTCCCGTCTTCACCATTACTCCGCTCAATCCCTTTAAGATATTAAAAGAACAAGAAGAGCAGAGAGACGGGAAAACGGCCAATAACAGAAAGTTCTATACCCGGGAACGAAGGGGTGCACCCCCCGTAGACAACGAGTGGTACAGGCTCTAGGAGCGAAAAGCGGACAGGGTAGTTGTTGAAAGTAATAGAAACACAAGGCTCAGTTTTTCTAATCGATCCATATTAAAACAAGGTCTCCTTAATCTTGACAAGACAAAGAGTTTCATCTAAAGTGCAGTTACAAACCTTCACTCTCTCATCCCCTTCAACGTCATTTCCCGTCCGTCGGATGAACCGTTCGCTCGAATTGGCATCGTTTGATTCGTTTAACCAATGACGAGGGTTTCCTCATCGGGGAAGCTGTACTGAGGAACCTCGAGGTTCAGAGGGGCAGGACCCTTCCTGATACGGCCGGAGATGTCGTAGTGAGAACCGTGGCAGGGGCAGAACCAGCCGCCATAGTCACCGGATTCACCGATAGGGACACAACCAAGGTGGGTGCAGACACCTGAAGTGGGGAAGGGTATTAGATATCGCAAAGGAATATATGAAATCGGGCTAGCTCATATGACATACCAAGCATGACAAGCCACTCGGGCTTCTGAACACGGTCCTCATCAGCCTGGGGATCACGGAGAGTTTGCCACTCAATGGAGTTGGCCTCGTTGATCTCATCCTGGGTACGGTGACGGATGAAGACGGGCTTTCCACGCCACTTGATGATGACCTGTTTGATATCAGGTCAGCCAATCATGCATCACAACAAACGGCTTCGTAGGGATAATCGAAACATACGTTCTTGCCCTCAGGAATGGTAGCAAGGCCGATTTCAACCTTAGCCTGAGCGAGGACATCGGCAGAGGCGGACATGTTGACCAGGAAGTCTGTTGGTGAAGTTGTCATCAGCCACATGCTCCAAATGATAAGCCGATCCAATCCGCCAATTATCCCCATAACCCGGCTATCTCAATTCGCTATCCTGATATCTTGCACTCTTCCATTTCAATCGATAGCCCAGGGAAGACCTACCCTGAACAGTAGCCTTGGCACCAACAGCAGAGGCAAGACCGAGGGAACCGGCCATGAAGTAAGAGAAGACCTGGTTGGAGCGTGGGGGCTTCTTGGAGGCATATTTGCTGAAGTCAGGGATCTTGTAGGTCGAGGATTCCTTGGCGCTGGTGAAAGGGCTCTCGAAGGACGACTTGGACGCATCAGCGACTCCCCTCCGCTGCTGGCAGGAGGCGATGGCAGCGCGAGAAGTGGGCAGCTGTTGGCGGGCGCAAGCGCGCAACAGAGTGCTGGAAGCGGAGGAGAGAGACATGGCGGGCAAAGCAATTGCAGTCAATTGCAAAGACGGACGACCGTTTGAGGGGGGTGGAGGGGGGAGTCAAGGTGGACGAGGGAGGATTTTCCAGATGTTGGAGGTTGAAGTCGGAGGCGCGGCATACGGAAAGTCGAACCAGAGCTTTCGCTTCGGAATCACGGGGCGCCTCATTGGCTGATTGGGTCACACTCCGGACACTCACCTTATTTTCTACACTATCGATCAATACAATTACAATTGGTACTCGGTAATGGCGAAGCAATTCGAAATTGATATCATAACCTGGACAATTGGATTACTTTATTTGCACTCGAATTTAATTCATTTATAGCTTTTCCCATTACTCTAATTTTGATATATAAAGGTAACCCCAACAACAACTTGTTTCCAAGCTGACGGAGACCATTCTGCCCGTGATTTCCCGTTCCGTCCATTCCCAATTAACCCAAATGCAAAAGTGACCGGACCATAACACGATCTTTTTGCCAACAAAAGAAGCACCCAAACCCAGAACTCCCCATACATGCAACTCCCTCGGTTGATATTGGAACGTTATAGAGGATCAATTTACTGGTCAACCATTTCCACATCCCCGTCCTCTCCCTTGCTCTGGTTGTCAACAGTCCGATCGACCACCAGCGTGCTCACTGCTCCAGTCGCATGCATGACCACCGGCGTCCGAGGGCTCTTTAATGGCTTTTCTTCTATAGCTTGTAGTTCTTCCTGATGCTCTGATTCCCCATTGGCATGTGGTACAGTTCCATTCAGTGTGCGCTGTCCTTTCTCGATCTCGGCTTCTCTGATGGCTTCCTTCGCCTTCTTTTCCTTGAATTGTTTATAGGTGGTCGTCTTGGGGATAACGTCGGAGAGGAATTCTAGATTATCGATTCGCGAAACCGCCGTAGCTATGAGGGTTATACATCAGTCCACCGTATGATGCTGGAAAACGCCGTTTGCGACTGACCTAGATCTTTGTATTGGATGAGCTTTCGTGGTTTTCGTTCGGATTTGACGACATTATGCCCTTGTTCTGTGAGATATTGGATGAACATTTCCTAGGCCAGTCAGTGACGGGGATGGAGTAAAAGGCTGCGACAAGAGCATCACGCACTGTAGCCATCGCGATCACAAACGTAGCGTTGCTTGAGCATTGTACTATATCCTCGTCTAATTGGATGATTTTCTTTATCCGCGAAACTGCAGAACCAGTCAACCGGCGATATCCATTATGATGGGTGCATTCCGCGTACTAGGAAGAGCGCTCTGGCCGGTGATCTCATGGGAGTGCGCAGAGTCCGGAGTGGGCTTCTCCTTGGGAGGCATCGTGGGTCGCGCCGAGTGTAAATCTAGGATAGGGAAAGGGAAAGTTTTCTTGGATAATGCGAAGGGAAACGAAGTCGGTGCTGCAAGGTGTGAGTCTCAGCCGTTCCTGTGTTGATCTAGAAACCTGACAATTATTTGAAGTGGGTAGGACGTGTTAAGCAACTGAGCCTGGCGCGTGCGGCGTGGAAATCCATATAGCGCGTGGCGTCAGTGCCAATAAAATACGCATTTAGTTATCTAGTTTGATCCAACACCGCAGATCGACTACAACTGGCGAGCTGTTGTTATATTTTTGCTTTCTCTGAATTCTCCCAATCAATCTTCTTTATAGATAGTTTACAACACTTTTCATTGCTTCAAATTAAAATAATTGCATAGGAATTATCAGAATATTGTTCCTTTGTTCTGAACTGCCGAAAGGCGGGAAATCATTTAGCTTGCTCCCTCACGTGGCCACGCGGCTCTCCCTCGATAATGAAGCTACTATCAATCAATCAGTCGTCATACTCCGAGAGGAACAGCTCTACCACTTACTCTTCTCGGTTGCCTTTGACTATGCTCCCATCGCACATCCAGTCCATGGTATGAGCTCAATGCCTGACTCATCAACCTCCCCGCGTTCACCCTCAGTACTATCTGAGCGTCGGAATTGGAGGAGGCTATCAGGCTTATCCACGTCCTCGAGCGCCCGACAACCAGCCAACGGTCACTCCACCGCAATCACAGAAGAAATCAGCGAGATCAAACGATATGAGGATTTCACAACTATCGACTGGGTTCAGGATGCGGTGCACGAGCAAGCGCGACGGAGAGCAAAGCGGCGAAATGGGTTTGGTTTCTGGGATCAAGAAGGCGCTTTTGGGTGGAGACGCAAAGTGCGCGAGTCCTACGATGCTGGGCAAGCTTGGCTAGTTATCACGATTGTTGGCGCCGTGATTGGGTTTATCTCGGCCTTCTTAAACATAATCACCGAGTGGTTGTCGGATATCAAGCTCGGCCATTGTACGACAGCATTCTACCTCAATGAATCATTCTGTTGCTGGGGCGCGGAGGGAGGTATGTCGCGACTGCTGCCTTACTAGATAATGTGTTGGGGCTCACAAGTTTTTAGGTTGTCCCGAATGGAAGACGTGGACTTCTTGGTGGCTCTTGAATTATGTCATTTATATCTGCTATGCGGTACGCTATCCATGCTCCGGGATTTGCAGAGGTTGTTGCTAAGCCCCAGACAGATGCTATTTGCCTTGATTGCTGCGAGTCTAGTCAAATCGTTCGCCCCCTATGCCGCTGGTTCCGGTATCTCCGAAATAAAATGCATTATAGCTGGTTTTGTTATGAAAGGCTTCTTGGGTGCATGGACTCTTTTGATAAAGTCCATTGCGTTGCCGTTGGCCATCGCCTCCGGCCTCTCTGTGGGTAAAGAGGGTCCTAGTGTCCACTTTGCCGTTTGTGCGGGGAATGTCATCTCGCGGCTTTTCAGCAAATATAAACAGAGTGCGTCAAAGACTAGAGAGGTCTTGACAGCCACAGCCGCGGCTGGCGTGGCTGTCGCATTCGGCAGTCCCATTGGAGGAGTGCTTTTTTCCCTCGAGGTACGGACATATAGGTTTATTGCTCAGACCGGATACTGATTGTTTATAGGAAATGGCATCATATTTCCCACTTAAAACACTATGGCGCAGCTACTTTTGCGCTTGGTAGCGATTGGCGTGTTGGCGGTTAGTACCCACCATGTAATCAACTGCCAAGTGCTAACATGTCCCAGGCGATGAATCCCTTCAGGACTGGACAGCTGGTTATGTTCCAGGTGCAATACGACCGTACTTGGCATTTTTTTGAGTTGATATTCTTCGTTTTCCTTGGTGTGTTTGGCGGATTATACGGGGCCTTTGTGATCAAGTGGAACCTTAGAGTCCAAGCATTCCGCAAGAAATACCTCTCGCAACATGCTGTTATGGAATCGGTTATCCTTGCTGCGCTGACGGCGGTACTATGCTATCCCAACATGTTCTTGAAGATTAACATGACAGAGATGATGGAGATCCTGTTCCGGGAATGTGAAGGCGGTCATGACTACCATGGCCTTTGCGAGTAAGTAATTCCAAGGAGACCCGCAAGCATTGCTTACCAGGTTAGGTCCAAAAACCGGTGGCCTTTGGTCGGGTCGCTTGCTATCGCGACGATTCTCCGCATATTTCTGGTCATCATATCCTATGGTTGCAAAGTACCTGCGGGAATTTTTGTACCATCCATGGCGATCGGAGCATCGTTTGGCCGTCTGGTTGGGGTCCTTGTCCAGGCGTTGCACGAACGGTTCCCTGAATCGGCGTTCTTCGCGGCCTGTGAACCGGATGTGCCATGTATTACTCCAGGAACCTATGCCTTCTTGGGCGCAGGGGCAGCCCTGAGTGGTATCATGCATTTGACCATCTCAGTCACGGTCATCATGTTTGAATTGACCGGAGCTTTGACTTATATTCTCCCCACCATGGTACGCTCATCCCTATGGAACATCTTCCTTCTTATACGCAACTAACATGCCTGTCTTGTAGATCGTGGTAGGAGTCACAAAAGCCGTTAGTAGCCGCTTTGGAAATGGTGGTATCGCGGACCGAATGATCTGGTCCAATGGCTTTCCTTTCCTCGATAACAAGGAAGACCATGTCTTCAACGTCCCTGTGTCGCACGCGATGACGGCCGATCCTGTCACGCTTCCTGCATCCGATTTTCCTGTGCGTGAAGCAGAGCATCTTCTGAGCGATAATAAATTCCAAGGCTTCCCTATAGTCGACAACCGAACGAATAAGACACTTGTCGGATACATTGGCCGCACGGAACTACGGTACGCCATTGACCGTGCTAGAGCGGAAGGCATACTCGCCCCCAATGCCCGATGTGTGTTCACCAAAGAAGCTGCTGAAGCTTCAGTAGCACGCAGAGCATCTTCTTCATCACCACATCACTTAGCTCCTGATACATTTGATGCCATCCAACAGAGCGTCGGCTCCAGCTTCATAGACTTCAGCAGATACGCGGACCACACACCGCTAACAGTGCATCCGCGCCTGCCCCTGGAGACTGTGATCGAAATCTTCAAGAAGATTGGACCGCGCGTCATCCTCGTGGAGCACCGCGGCCGCTTAACCGGCCTCGTCACTGTCAAAGATTGTCTGAAGTACCAGTTCAAAGTCGAAGCCCAGGAACACGCACTTGCTGCGACCCAGGCTTCAGAAGGCCCACTGGGAGACCAGACAAGTGCCCGATCTGGCGACACGCTGGAGGAGCGGGTGTGGAACTTGATACAACGAGTCGGCTCCAAATTGCCCCGTTGGCGGCCAGCGGGTCGCGTCGCTTTGTCTGACCACCAGGAAGGAAGGGGCATCTCCAGCGGCACTGATGACGAAAACGATAGACTGATGGAACTAGAAGAACGGCCATAGTGATATCGCTGTCCATGTTCATATGTATATATAGATATAGAACCTGTATGATTCGAATCCTTATGAGTCCCAGAATAACCATACATATATGTCCTTGACGTACTTAGAACTCCATCATACATCCAAACAGTCACATAAAGCCATTCAACCAATCTATTTTAACAATATACACATACTCTACAATAACCCTTCCCCCAACCCAACTAGCACAAAAAAACAAAAAGACAAGAAAGCAAGAAACCGAAAATCTAATTATCCCTCATCCCAACCAGAACACACCCACCCCCCATCATCCCAGCCCCAACCCACCAAAGCCCACCCACTTGCTCCCTGAAAACCAACATGCCCAGCATAGCCGTAACAAGGAAGTTCGCTGCCGTATTCGTAATCGACGCTTTCACCGTCGACGGCGCAGCCGTCAAGGCCCGCGTAAAAAGAGCCCACATAATCACATTACAGAGGACATTAAGACCCAGACAAGCCTGTTCCCACACTTAGTACACACACGCAGCAGTCAAACAATGAATGCCACCCCGGAAACCCAAGGGGGCCAATGCTTAGATAAAAGGGACGGAAGGGGACGGGAGAGAATCATACACCCCTAACCAACATCTCCAGGATCGGATGATCGCCTGTTAGACTTAGGAAGGCGAGGAGAGATTTCGAGAAGGCTGCTGTTTGCGTATCGGTTGTCCTGGGTTTTTGTTAGATTCTCTTATCTTTCTTACTGGTTATTGTTGGGGGGGGTATAAGTTATGTGGTAATGGGAAAACGTACAGTTTCGCGAAGAGGCCGTTAAGGGCGGCGAATGCGCCGCTTGCTAGGGCTAGGATTACCCAGCGGGAGTGTGTAGACATTTTCTTTATTTTCTTTATTTGGCTCTGTTATATACCGGGGGGTTTAGTTGGTGGCGTTTGATTAGGTCAAGGGGAATGTTTGTACTCCGTTGACGGATGGTTGATATGGCGAGTGAGTGTAGCTGTTTCTTGGCGGGTTTCGCCAAGTATTTTGGGGTACTTGGGATATAGGGTTGGTTTGTATGTGTATACGGTTTTGGGTTTATTTTTTGAATTGCTACTGATGTATTAGAATAGATATTTGATAGCGCTTCACTTTCTATTAGTCATTGGAAAATTATGGGCTTTGGGGGGCTTCGGTCCCTATGAAGCCTCTCATTTAGATCCGAATAATGGTCTTGCGTACTCCGTACACAGTATGACAAGCAATCGCAGCATAGACACGTTATACTCCAATGTCTCGAGGTCTGTCAACCACAATAGGTGGCCATAGCCTAGTTACTTTCAAAACATTCTTTATTAGACCCCGTCGATGACTATGATCCCTGGTCATTTCGACAGCCCAATATACTGCAGGAACTTCAATTGTTAGCAACAAATAGGATATAGAGTAGGTCTCGTCGATCGAATACCAAAATCGCTATTCACTAGTTATGTATAGTAACCCATCTAGTCTATACTATAGTCTAAGGCGATAGTCGTTCAACCCGCCATTTATATGAGTCACTCTGCGAGTCATGCACCCTCACATACCGGAAGCGATCATGCAGTCGACTGCGCCGTCCCTGCCAGAACTCTACCGACTCCGGTACCAGACGCACGCCGCCCCAAAACGGAGGTAATGGGATCTCCTCCGTATTGGCAAACCTCTCTTCCAATTCCCGTACTCGCTTCTCTAGCAGCGCCCGGCCGTCATCGATATCCGTTTCATCCACGTCACCCGGAATAGCCTGGGGACACACATCCTGCGCCAGGCTCTTCCGCCGCCGCTCGATCAGACTGTCTGGCTCTGCGGACCAGAGCACCTTGCTCTGCCAGCTGGCCCAGCCGCCGATCTGGCTACCCCGTTCGCGGGTCCGCCAGTACAGTTCACTCTCTTCGCGGCTAAGGGGTTCAATGAGACCTTCGACACGCACCTGCCGTTCAACTGTTCCCCAGTTGAATGTGAGGGCTGCCCATTTGTTGCCTTGTGGCATTCCATCATCCTCTGCGCCGGGCTCGGGCATGGCACCCAGAACGCTGTCTCCATCTGCTTGAGTACCAAAGACCTGTGCGCCCTTCCCTTGCCGACTGCCCCAGTTGCTGTAGACTACCCAGCCTCGCTCGTCCAGCTCCTTCAGATATACAACGCGCGCGCTCACCCGGCCAGAGGGCAAAGACGCCGTAGCCAACGTACATGTCTCCGGGGCTGACGATGCAGACAATCGCGGGTCGCGGAACCAGGTATTGAATTGATGGAGCGGATTGGTGGGGTGCATCTGGGAGACAGTGAGCGGTGGGTTGGTCACGAACTGATGCGCGCGAGCGGGGTGGGAGACAATCTGTTTCTCGGTAACGGAGTTGGGCGTGGAGGTCTCCGATCGAAGGGCCTCCGCGACAAGTCGAGCGACATTGGCAGGTGTAGCGGTTTCCGGCTTGTGGGGAGGCGTTGCTTGGTCATTAGGGGTTGATACTTGGATGTCACCTGGTGCAACTGGCAAATGTGGGGATGTGTCAGTAGCTATGTTTGTAGAACTGTGGTTACGCCGGTCAAATTTGGACGAGTAGAACCTACAGATTAGCTTTCTGGGGTGTTTCCCATGGTCATCTCCAGGGCTGGCGAGGTGGTCTGAATTCATGGCGGATAGGTGTCGCGGGGTTTGGTGGTGGCACTGAGCGAACTGTATGCGCCGGAGAGAGAAGTTAGTCGAAGAGACAACCAAAGAGGACGCATAGGCTGTCCTCTACCGGCGAAGAAGTAATTGGAATTGAGTGAACGAGGAGTCAGAAAGGAGGAGGGTTGAAGTGTGACCGTTGCATGGTTGAATGACTTAATCTGTTCCGCGGGGTTGGCCGATAAACGCCGATAACCAAGTCCGTCGCCGTCCCAGAACAGGTTTTCTACTTAAGTTGGAAGCAAACACAATACTCAGTTCATAGGTCTAATATTGATTATCCAAAACTGTCCTGTGTACAGCACAGAAGTCTTAAGATTCAAGAAGAATTGCAGCCAGGATTCCCCTGGCTGGAGAGTTGGGAGTGTCTATGGAACATATAAGAAATGGTAAATAACCCTGAAACCAAACATAACCCCTTTTTTACATGAACGCCATATCCGCTCGCTGAATGCAAACCATAAACAGAATGTAGTGCAAAATGTACACCAAATGGGCATGGTATTGCCTCCCAAATGCCAATGCAGAGATCAAATGGGCTGGAAACAGCCAAAGACAGGGATCCAGCCCTGAGAACATATTAAAAATGAATACTCTTTTATCCCTTTTCGATATAAAACGGCAAATTTAGTCCCGCTTGAATCGAAAGGTGGAAGGCAACGGTTCATCAGTGGATGACGCGAGCGCCTACAGGGCAGCGGCGACCGCGGCACCGCCACCGACAAGATCCACAATCTTGCTGGCGACAGCGGTCGGGTATCCACGAGAGAGCATCTCTTGCACAATACGAGAGGCGTTCTCTCGCTCGTTGGCAATGAGGAATGCACGAGTCATGGCCTCGTAAGTGCTAGGCTCACGCTTGTCCACACCAATGGTATCATAGATGGCCTTGGCTTTGCTCACGTTGCCCTCAGTGGCCCACCCTTGAATAAGAGTGTTGGCAATGTAGGCAGTCATATCAACCCTACGCTGGGCCATATCCTTCACAATGTCCTCAGTTTGTGCAACCTGGTGGTTGGCCACCATGGCCTCGAGGAGGGCCTGGTACAGGCATGGTTGGAGCCGCACTTTGCTGTTTGAGACGACTGAGTTGAAAACCTCCTGAGCAGCCTTCATGTCATGCATCACACAGCCATGGGCATGGATGAGGGATGCATAGTGCACGGCCTCGGGTTGCTGTCCGGCGGCTTTGATGGTCTCGAGTACTTTCTCCGCAGCCTTCATATCTACCGGCTCTAGAGAGGCGTGTGCGTCGATGAGCAGCTTGTAAGTGTGCATGGTGGGCTGGATATTACGGCTGAGCATGCGCTCATAATACGCCAGAACCTTGCTGCGGTCGCGCTTGGTGTTCAGGAAGTACTGAATCATGGAATTGTAGGGAGCTGGGCGAGGCTTGTAGTTGGGCATCGACTCCATCTCCTCAAACATCTCCTCAGCGAACCGTTCATCGCTGACTCGGCAAAGGGCATTCACAATTGTTCCGTAGGTAACACTGGTGGGACGCACACCCTGGGCACGCATCTCGGCGAAGTACAAGAGACAATCGTCAATACGACGGGCTTTGCCAAGCTTTCCGATCAAGGCGTTGTACAAGAACGAGGTAGGCTCAACTCCTTCAGCGACCGCACGGTGGAAGATCTTCACGGCTTCGGTCGCCTCGTCGAAGGTCTTAGTCGATTCCTTGAGCGTAGTGATATAAAGACCGAAGGTGTTGGCGGACGGAGCGGAGCCGAGTTCAGAAAGTTCCTGGTGATATTTGGAGGCGAGACTGCGATCATTAAGGGTAAGACAGGAGGCTACCATGGCGTCAAGAATTGACACCCAACCGTACTTGACAGCGTGATACTGGTGCAGGAGAGGGACGTCGCGGCGAGCCATGCTCAGGATTTCATGGACCAGATCGTTGCGATGACACTTGGCGGCAGCGGTGATCAGTTTGGCATAGGTGATGTAGCGAGGATGACGGCCAGAGCGGCGCATGTTCCGGAGCCGAGCCAAAGCATCGTTGAGGTGGGACTCAGGGCGACCGCTGGTGCTTTCCAACTGTTCGGCAATCATCGCAGACCCTTTGAAATCGGTGGCATAGGCGTACGGATCGAACGAGTCTTCGCTGGGCGCAGAGGTCATCGTCGACATCTCAGAGACCGGAGAGTGGCGATCGGACATGAACGAAGAAGGGCTGGAAGTGAGCCCGAGGTGGTCGTGCCATCTCCTTACCATGTCAGGACGGCTGTTGAATAGCTTCCCGACCGCCTGGTCGACGACGCGAGTGGTGTACGGATCCATTTGAAGCCTGGTAGCCAAGGCAATGTCAAGCATGTGAGAAAAGCGAATCGGGTGGGCAACATCCAAAGACGCGGAGCTGTTGACGAGCATGCCGGCCTGGACCTGGAGAGCAAGGGATAGGTCGCGGGGGTTGAGCTGTTGGATGGCAATAGGACCGAGGCTGGCGACAGCGTGGTCAGCGACCGGAGAGACCAGTCCGCCGTTCTCGACCATTGACCAAAGGAGAGTCATGACAGTTTTGGGTGAGAGGACGGCAGCAGTCTGAATAAGTACGCGACCGATGAGATGAAGACTTTCATTGATGTGCTCCCGGACAGAGTTAAGTAGATAAGGGTTCTCGATCGAAGCGTTGCGGATCCGTCCAAACATATTACGGGCCTCGATCAAGGCTTCTTCGATCTGACCACTCTTCAATAAGGCCACCGAATACATTGCCGTCGGCTGAACCATGTCCGGTGTTGTCTGACCCACAGTGCTTAGCATCACCCACAGAGGCCTAGCCGCCGACACGTTGCCTTGACGCACGTACAATGCCAGCATCGAGATAGCAGGAGCATGACGTTTTGCGGTATCAGTAGGCAGGCAATCGTATGCTTCGGAAGCCGTTTTGAGGTTACCGGCATCCGCCGCGGCGATGCAGATTTCGGCCATGGCATGATCCAGGGCCCCATCGCGCAACTGGGTCTTAGCTTGACTCAACGCCTTATCGTGCTCACCCGATTTTAAGGAGTGGGAAACAAGGCCATCTCGAACGATCACGGTTTCAACAGCATCTTTCCGAATTTCTCGGTTTTCTGTCACCTCATCGAAAGAGGCCCGGATCCGCTCCAAAAAGCGCAAAGCCTCCTTCTCCTTACCACACGATAGATACGCTTTGACCAACGCAGCGTACACCTGGCC